CACACGTGTAGATTCACGTAGACAGCATAACCAAGACAGACCATTCCATCACCACAAAGATGTCCCTTGTGCAACCCCTTTATAGCCACACACCCCTCCCTGCCCCCCACCATCCCTAACCCCTGATAACCACTCATTTGTTTGCATCTCTCGTCAGTTCAAAAAATGTTACATATATGGAATCATACGGTAGGTGACATTTTGAAACTGGCTTTCTTCACTCAGCACAATGCCTTTGAGGTCCATCCCCGTTGTTGCACGTCGTGTCAGTTGTTCATTCCCTTTCACTGCTGAGTAGCATTCCACTGCATGGAGAGACCACGGTTAGCCATTCCTCTACTAGAGGACATTTTGGTGGATTCCAGTTTTTGGTTTCTACAAATAAAGCTGCTATGAATAACCATGCACAGGTTTTTCTGTGGACATGTTTTTCACTTTCCTTCCAGGAGTGCAAGTGCTGGGACCTATGGAAGTGGACGCTTGGTTCTTAAAGAAACTACCCAACTATTTTCCAGGGTGGCTGTGCCATCATGTTCCCACCAGTGGTGCCTGGGCGATCCGGTTTCTCTGCATGCTTGCCAGCATTTGGTGTTGATACTGTTTATTTTAGCCAGCTGTACAGGTACATACTGTGTCTTACTGTGATTTTATATTTCCTGGTGGATGTTGTTGAATGTGTATTTCCTGGTGGATGTGTTGAACTTTTCATGTGCTCATTTGGTAGCCACGTATCTTCTTCGGCAAAATGTTTCTTCATGTCTTTTGTCCGTTTTATACTGGATTATCTTTTTACTGTTGAGTTTTGAGAGTTCTTTATATATTCTAGATACGTGGTCTGCAAATCTTCTCTCAGTCTGCAGCTTTTCACCTTCACAAGGATCTCTTGCAAAGTGCTAAATTTTGATGAAGTCCAGTTTATCAATGTTTTCTTTTATGGATCATGCTTTTGGTATCAAGTGGGAGAATATTTTGCTTAATCTGGATCATGAAGATTTTCTACTATTTTTTTCCTGAAAGTTTTATATTTACATTTAAATTTGTGATCCATTTTAAATTTTATGTGAAGTGTGAGCTTTAGGTAGACGTTCATAATTTTGTCTGTTTTAAAACCAATTATTCCAGCACCATTTATTGAAAAAACTATCCTTCCTCTGTTTATTGTTTTGGTACCTTTGTCAAAGTCAGTTGATGGTATCTGTGTGGGGTTGTTTTTGATTCTCCATCTCCTATAGATCTATGTGTCTATCCTTCCACCAGTATCACAGTCTTGACTACTGAAGTCTTGAAATTGAGAATGATTCCTTCCACTTAATTTTTCCTTTTCAAAGTAGGTTTTAGCTTTTTAGCTATTTTAGTTCCTTTGCCTTTCCAGATAAATTTTAGAATTGTTATCTATAGTTTTTAAGAAAATTTTGCTGGAACTAATGATGTAATGTATGGTGATTAACATAACAATAAAAATTAAAAAAAATTTTGCTGGGACTTGGTAGAAATTGCTGACAAGCAATTGAACCAAGTACAGGCATTCTATGAACTGAGACCTCCCCCCCCCCCCCACTAAGCCAGTGACTTTGCTTCAGGCAGTGAAGTTGGGCTCAAAATATCTCCTGAAGGGGTAGCTACTAATTTTTTTCATGTAAAATTGAGATATTTATGCTATAGTCAGGTTAGCCGCGCTCTCAAATATACCTCTTCTAACATTGTTTCTATTTGACTTGCAAGGTCTGCTGGGCCCAGGTTAATTAGATTCTAAGTACAGTTGACTCACTCCAAATTGGAGATGTCATACCAGTGAGTCACAAGGCCTCCATGGGTCAGGCATTCAGTTTCAAACAAAAGCCTAGGAGCTGGTTAATAGTGGAATTTCCCCAAAATGGGTGTACTTGGTGGCTGCATCAGACAGGTGGCAATGTTGTGCTGGGAAATGGCCTAAGTACTTTAACCGAAGGAGTGCATTCCCTTTCTCCTCCTGGGTTCTTTTTTTTTTTTAATTTTTTTTTTTTGAAGATTTTATTTATTTAATTGACAGAGACACAGCGAGAGAGGGAACACAAGCAAGGGCGAGTGGGAGAGGGAGAAGCAGGCCTCCCGCGGAGCAGGGAGCCCGATGTGGGGCTCGATCACAGGACGCTGGGATCATGACCTGAGCTGAAGGCAGACGCTTAACGACTGAGCCACCCAGGCGCCCCTCTTCCTGGGTTCTTTATTGTTTCTGCCGGACCACTGGAGAGGGGAGGACAAGGAGGCTAACTGGGGAGTGATTTATATGTCCCTGTCACTTCTCTACATATGGCAGTCCTTGAATGGGAGAAACCCCATGAAAATTATGAGATAGGTACTTCTGGGCACATAACACATCAGTTCCAATAGACATTCGGTTTTGGAAGTTGTGACATTACATTGAATCCCCCAAAGGGCCTCACTCACAAGGGAAGCCTGCCTTCTCTGCTGCGGAGCTCGTCCAAATGCCTTTCTCAACTGAGGAGTATAAAATGTGTGAGTCAGGAGCTATAGCAGGCGGCATATGGGTGCCAGATCCTGCTACCCCCCAACCAAGAGGGTGGGAAACCTGAGGAGGTGGGGGAGGCTAGCCTGTGGAGAGAGAACTTAACTGTTGGCTTTTTTCTCCTTCAGCCCCTTTCTCCAGAGTCAGTGCCCCAACTACTTCTGCCATGGCGGTGCTGATGCCCGTCAGCATCCAGAAAGAACCAGGGCTCAGGGGCTTCTTTCTTCTCCACACCCACCCAGCAGTCTTTGGCACCACTCTGTCACCAGCACTTAGCACCTTGTCGTCATCGCCAGCTGTGAGGGCCACCTGTCCTGCATGCACTTTTGCATGGGAACAGTGCCACGATTGCTTGCAGCCCAACCAAATCAACTTCTAAAGTTTTTGGGCCACCCAAAGCTCTCAATCAAAAAGCAAGGTTCTTATCGCTGATACCATTTATTTTATGTTTGGGGACTCCTTGATTCAGGAACTATATCTGCGTTTCGCATAGTCACAGGAATTGCTGATCCCTTGTCATGAAAATATTCCTTCCTCTGCCTGCCTACCTGCAGAAGTCACCAACCATCAAGGCACCATTTGGGCAGCTTGTTTCAATCTTAGCTTTTCTGGCTAAGCCTTTAAATATTAGCTCAACTTCTGTTCAGTAATAAGTAGGACAGTGGGAACCCTTACTCTCCCCCTAACCCCTCATCTATCATTTGGAGGAAAGCATTCACTACCAGATAGATTCCAGGGAGTCTCGTATTCCCAAATCTGACCCATGGTCCCTCTTCCAGAAAAATCATGTCTCTGTCAGCATTCCATCCCCACTGCCAAAACTGTCAGGTCTGGGATTTGATTTTTACCCTATCAGTAAGAACCAGTAAGTAAGCTGGCCTGTCACGGTATCATGGATGCTGACAGAAGACACAAGATTCTTGGGTCAGAGGCCAAGGATTTCATTTCGCATTCAGACACAGCCTGCAGAATGAACATCGGCATGTTTGTGGCAGTTCCCCTTGTCCCTAGTTCCACAGGGGCAATGCAATGGGCCCGGATGGATGCCAAGCATCCAGCTGAGGAACACTGAGGGTGAGGAATCCACTGCTTTTACAGCATACCTGCTCCCTGTCCTCAAGGTTACTAACTGCATAAACCCTGAGAAATACCCAGGTAAAACTGTTGTCAGGCCTTGCAGTCTTGGGACACCCAGCAAAGTGTGTGGGCGCAGAAGAGGTGCAAGAGAACTGGACTGTCTTGTCTGACAATTAGCCTTTCCTATATTGTGTTCTGTTTGTCCTTTCATGTATGTATCTCTCACTCTGTAAACCGATGCCTTGTGCAATAGTACAAAATGATATACAGCCCAATCTAGAATATCTTCAAACTATAGTTTCAAAGACTGAAGAAGGATAAGTCCTTCAAAATTTGCCCACCACTCACATTTTGTCAGCCATCTGTCAGTCTTAAGTGGAACAGAGAGCTAAAGAAAACTTTTCTGGCCCATCTTTCTTTAAGAACTATGATGACTGCCGTTCCTAAAATAAGGATGGCCACTCAATAGTCTAGAAAGAGCCACTTCTATTTTTCTAGAAAGAATTATACTACTGTGGTGAGAGGGTGATGGCTGACAAGGCAGTAACATACTGTTGCTAAGGAGAAGACCCAGTGATTATCCCGATGGCCCAATGCTGAGATAATACCACTCAGCCCCAGTGCAGAGCACATGACAATTTTTTTTCCTATGGAGTTTTTATTTCAGCCTTAAAAAAACTCCCCAAATTTGTTACTTAGATTCCAAGATTTTACTCTTCAGAGACACACTCACTATAACTGTTTTAAGATTACAAGCAAACTTCGGTAAGTCTTAGGTTTTAATTCATGACAGGTAAACAACAATATTTGAGGACTAAAAGAACAAAAATGAGATCAGTGGCTGCAGTAAACAACATCTGAAGAATAATTCAGCAGATGGACATTAGTGGTTAAGCTTCAGATCCACACAATGAAAAGCATAAATACAATGACATGACTAAGTGGTTCTCACCGGCAGACTTCACGAAACTGGAACTTCAGATGCAAAGGCTGTTTCGGTAACTGAGAAGGGACAGAATAATAAAATGATGGTGTTTCTATTCATACGGCATACAAAATGTTTCCTGTCCTAAGCAATTTTACAAAATACCTTAAAATTCTATCTTTTTCTGTGTGTTTCTATTGGAAATTTCAAGTAAAAATCATAACACTTTTCTCCTGAAAGCTACAGTGATGCAAATAAAAGGAGCAATGAAGTCACAATGTTTTAACACATTGTCATGCAGTGTTTTGGAGTTTATCTTTGGGGTATAAAATACTCAGGAAGTGGGCTAGTGTAAAAAAAATATTAGGCACTAATCAATTACATGTCAGAACCAAATTAATCCCATTATATTGGAGGGAATTTAATTTGAAGAAAATCAGCTTCCTGACTTGGTTAAAACAAAGTCTATAATGTAATGAGACAAAAGTGAAGTAGTTTAAGTAATAAATGTTTAATCAAAGAATTTTACATATTATTAACAGCATTCATTTGGCCAGACATCTACACGTTTGTAGAATCCTACTGTATATAAAGTGGGAATGTATCAAGTATAGACTATGAAAGTGCAAATAACAAGTCAAGGTTAGAGTAATTTTTTTTTTTTTACATTATAAAATTAACTTGTTTACAAAATAGGCTTTGCCAAACTTTATTTCTGAATTGTAAAGTCAATGACTGTGTTGTTTTTAAAATATGTACCAAGGAAATACAAATTGAATAATGATCATTTTTCATGCTCAGGAGATAAAAGCACAGAAACAAAGGGGACTGCACAAGGTGCAAGGAGCCGGAACCCATCACATACACTGTCTTCACACGGACCACTCTTCCTCACCTTATTGCAGCTTTGCTAGATGCTCAATGTGATACAAAGACTCTTTCTATTGAAAAATTACAACTTGGTCTAAAAACTGATTGGTGTCGCTATTTTTAATCCAAAATAAATTTGTAAAAAAATCCTTTAATGGACTGTTTCAGTTTAATATACAGTAATACACTGTAGACAAAGTTAATATTTTCCCCAACTAATTTAATGGGGATTGATATCGACATTTCTGATAATTGGGGAAATAAAAGCTAATGTGGATCTTTGATATCCATGGCATAGGAGCAATTCACATACAGTTTATTCCAAGGGAACCTGGGGAATATTAACTACTCTAATATAATGTCCTAGCCATATGAATTCAAAGGACAAGAATTTCAAAAGCAGTTCCTGGAGAAGAAAAAAATTAATCAAAAACCATAATCACAACTCACATGGATATCAATACTAATATAACCTTGTACCTAGCCCAGGACTTGCCTGTACACACTCAGTACTGAAATTTTGGTATCTGTAGATTTCTGGTAAGAATCTGGCAAAACATTAAACGGAATGTTGCATATCTATTTTGTTTGTGTTATGCTAGTTTTGATAATATGTAAGTAAAACAGCCATTCCAACAGTTTACTCTAGTTTTAATTACACACTGTACCATTGTATCTTAATTACAACTATGACCAGTATTTTCTTCACAGTAAGACACTGATAACTAGGAAATTGATTTTTTTCAACACTAAACAGTAATCACACAGCAAATGAGTATTGTGCAATAGAACAAACACATGTCAGCATTTGCTATTTAGGCAAACAAACTGAACATTTAGTTGTTATATTTACTGTAAAGGCAAGGCCATGGGTGGTTTTATGGAGGTCTTTGCAATTCATAGCATAGTTACTTCAGAAGAGACACTGAAATTTGAATTACTCACTTATTTAACTGGCAACTATCCATTTAGTTAGGCAAAGGCACGGTAACATGTTGCGCAGGATGTTTTATTGAATTTTTTAATAATTGTGGGATTTATTATAACTCATGAAAACTCCACGTTTTTTTCTATTTTATAAAACACTTACCATTAAAAGTAATTGCACCCATTAGTAATTAGAATGCACTGTAAAAGTGTGAAAACAAAGAACTATGATTGCACTTCCAATAAAGTGTCTCTTAAAATACAGCACCGCTGTTGCTAATCAACTGTATTTTAATATTAAAATAAACTGTTTTTAACAGCAGCATTAGGTTTAGTTAACTTAAGCTACAGGCTACATTTATTTAAATGCAGTCTCCATGGCAACAAAAGCCCATTCAATTCTGGAATATCACTGCTACCAAGTGGCACCTTTAACTCCTGAGAAGGCCGAGACTCCTCTGGAGCCCTTCAGGACACCGCACGCCTACCGCCTCGTTATTCAGCGCATGAGTCATTTTGGCACAAGTGGACTGTAATAGACATGACAAGAAATTTTTGATTCATGTGAATATGAAAACTACACTGTGGTCGATGTAGCACTAAGGAGAAGCCTTGGACACCTCAATTCACACTGCTCAGACAGGAAGGAAGAAAGTGATGGCAGAGCACAGACAGACTGAGGAACGAAATGTTATCAGATCTGTTCAAAGTAACTTCTAAAATGAAGAAAACTTTTTTCTTTAAAAGAGGAAAAACCACCCAAGGATTAGGGAGTAAGCCTTTAATTTAAATGTTCAATTTAAGTATTGTCAACCTTAGGCTAAACGGAGGACTGCATTTTCTCAGAATGTGGAATCTGGCCTACTCATTCCATTTGTGTTTCTCTTACTCTTCTTTTTTGTCAGCACAAAGGGGAAAAGCTATCCCATTAAATACAAAAGAAATTCCCTGTAAGGTTAATATCAGAAATGAAGCTACCGTTCAAGGAACTCCTTCGTATTCAACCCTAACGTCAGTGGTTTAAAACTGAGTTGGAATTGAGTGGATCAAGTCTCTATAAAGCATACTCCACTAGAATACCATCTGTACCTGTGATTCATTTGGAGCCCAAGGTCTTCAGTTCACACTAAATGGACTTGTTCAAGCCAGTCACTTGAGGTCTGAGGTGTTGGACTTGAAACATCTGAACCATCCCCCTTGTTGGCTGCCTCATTACCACTATTACCAGCTGGAGATGCTGCCTCCCCAGCCAGAGTATTTTCTTCCAAAGGATTTTCTTCTTCTATTTGGGTTCTTCTACCTTCACTGACCACAGCATCTTCAAACACTGAATCTTCTTCCGGTGGCACCAGATCCACATCCCTCACACCTTCTGACTCATCTTTGACACAGGGGAGCTGGGAATCTGCACTGATTTCTATAGCTGCTGGAGGAATCAGGGCAATACTCTGAGGGTTCATGTCATGAAACCAAGCCATGATATTGCCAAGAAGATTGTCATTGATGTTGGCGTCCTGGCCAGCTGAGTCAGGGTCACTGGATGAGGGACAGAATTCACTTCTTGCCTCACTGAGAGGGTGTGAACTCAGAGTGTCAGTTGAAAATGGGTCACTTTCTCCTCCTAATCTCATGAGGCTGTCACCAAGTTCCAACAGCTCAGAGCTGCTCATCGCAGCCCGAGGGCTATCTGTGTTCCTGGGGACCGAGTCTAGCCTAGAAGGTAAAGAGGTGCCTATCGCTCCTAAGGATGCCTCATTATTGAGGAAGTCTCTATTTTCCTCATCAATGGCCAGCCCGGATTCTTGCAGTGATAACTGTATTGCAAGAAGTATATTGGGATCATCTTCATCCAAGGAACTCAGAGCCTGAGGTGACAGAAAGTAAAAATCACTTTAAACTTTAAAAGGAAAAATTATTTAACTCAACGAGGTTTACCAACTATTCTTTTGCTAAAGATAATAAATATTACCTCTGTTTATACAGAATTATTTTTTTATCTACTCAAATCTTATTTTAATTTTCTCCTTGCCCATGCTAAAGAGAAAAAAAATTCCTTAAGAGAACTCTGGTATTACATCTCTGAAACAAAGGTTTTAGAATGAAAAGAAGAAAAAGGAAAACAAGGAAAGTAAAAATAGGAAGCCGGGCTAAACAGAGAAAGAGCATGAACAGGGTGACGAGGCTGCCCAGGAAGGCTACCTGAAGAGAGTCCTGGTTTTCCGAGCGACTGGCAGGGGTGTAGTCGCGCAGGGAAGAGGTGTGCAGCACGCTCATAGACGCGGAGCTCACCACTGAGGCGCCAGGCCTGCGGCCACTGCCACCATCTGTGATGTCTGTTTCAATGCAAGTGGAACCAGAGACAAGTCAGTCACACAAGATTTCACCCATCTTTTTCTTTCGGCCAACAACTTCTCTTTCAGTGCTGTTGAAAACCTGTGTTCACTTAATCTTTCAGAGATTTCTCCTCCATATTTATCTCATCAAAATATATCTAATACCGGGGCACCTGGGTGGCTGTCATTTAGGCATCCGACTTTTGATCTCAGCTCAGGTCTTGATCTCAGGGTTGTGAGTTCAAGTCCTACATTGGGCTCCAAAAGGGGGTGCTAACTGGCTTCCTTTATTTAAAAAAAAAAAAAAATATATATATATATATATGTTTCTCTCTATATATTTATGTATATATATGTATGTATATTTCTATATACATATATATATCTAATACTACTACTTCAAACACATGATTGTTCTTTACATTTTTGTTTACACTATATATAGTTCTATTCATAAATGCAAGTGCTACTACCCATTCCTCTTTTTTTCCTTAAGCAATAACAAATAAAGATATATTAGTTCTCAGAGTTCTTAAAACTAAAGAATTTTGAAATTACAATAGCCCGAAGAACAAATCTTTAGGCTCACTGTCCTGATTTATTTATTTATTTTTAAGATTTTTATTTATTTGACAGAGAGAGACAGTGAGAGAGGGAACATAAGCAGGGGGAGTGAGAGAGGGAGAAGCAGGCCTCCCTCTGAGCAGGGAGCCCGATGTGGGGCTCAATCTCAGGACCCTGGGATCATGACCTGAGCCAAAGGCAGACACTTAATGACTGACCCACCCAGGCGCCCCTGATCCTGATTTATTAAAGATGATCTGCTGACATTATAGTTTGAAGATTTTCCATTAACAATTTAACATTAAGTTAAAAAGTTGATAATTAAAATCATTTATCTCTAATACCAGAAATCTTCTCTCTTTTAAAGAATGTTTTAGAGGAGGACTGAGGCTAGGAGAAAAATATTTCATGAACATAGTAACAGTGATCAAGAGCTACAATTTACTGAGTGCTCACTAGGTGCTACCAGTGTTTAAGGGTTTTACACGCATTCTCTCATTTAATGCTCACAGTGAGCCCGCAAAGTGTCACTGTTATTATTGCTTCTTTGGAATGAGGAGACTGAAGCTTGGAGAGGTTAAGTGAACTTGACTGAAGTTTCACACCGACACACAGCAGAGAAGGGGTCACGAATCCAGGTCTGGCTGACTCCACAGCCCAAGTTCTTAATCTCCCTGGTTTTCTGTGTCCTGTGACATTTGAAGCATCTGAACATTGATTGTATATCTGCACTACAAACTATTTCACAAACATTTAGATTAGCCAGTTTTTAGAATGAATTCAGGAGACTGAAGAGACGAAAACATAGCCAACTCAAGAGCTTACCTAAAGTGCTTTCACTCGGCTCATCAGGGTCTGGAGGGTTACTGAGCAGACTGTGCACGTCTCCTCGACGGCGTTGTTGTCTGTGCCTCCTCCGATACTGAAATTCAGCATATTCCTGCATAAACCAAAGGTTATAAAATACAGGAGAGCATGCAATTTTTTAGATGCAAATAAAACAAATAATACACATTTTTCCAAGAAAAAAATGTGTGATTTTATAAACATATTATAAAATCACTTGGCTTTAACAAAAGAAACTTCAGGTTTTGCCATGCCAAGAAAACAGAAAAGGTAAAATGGAAAAAGAAAAATTTTAAATAGTCATTATGATTGCCTGGATAACTTGGGAATACTTGCAAGCTCCAATGCTTGGTCGTAACTGAGCCTTATTTCATATGCTTGGGTCTTGTCACATAATGTTATAACTAATACCATAATGATTTTACTAATATAAGCTAGGCTCTTGGAGGTTTGGTTTTTAAAAAGTGACTGTGATATGTGCAATAGAAAGAAAAAAAAGAAAACGAAGAGCATACACTGTCAAGTACTTGTCAGACCATTAGATTTTGTATTCCTTGGGACAACCACATACCATACTCAGAAGTTAAATGATTAGGTTAAAAGAAAAATGTGAAGTTAGCTTTAAAACAAGATGTTACTTGGCTTCCTTCCTATATTAGCTAATATGTGGGATTATCTATAACACAGGTGGGGGGAGTGTTTTCTGTGTAGCATATGGGAAGAACACAGATTTGGGCAGAGGCAGAACCTGTGACTACCTGCTATTACTTGGGTACAAACATACTTTTCCACATTTTAGAGACAGAAAAGACTAGAAGAGAGGCCAGGTGGTGTGCATGACACCAGCATAAATAGGCTAATTTTGAGAACCATTATAGAATCTTTCAGTGGTAAGTGCAAAGATACTCAGGTTTAAGATCATCCTGGTTATCCTAGGATATTCAATATGCTTATATTAGGAAAGTACTGCAATAAACGAAGAGAAGTTTTACATCACAAATAAAATGTTCACATCATACCATTCAAGTTAAATTTATTTAAACTCCATCTGTATAAATAAGCAGTTGGGACTCTAATAAGAAGTGGAAGGCATCCTACCAGGTTAGAAACCAAGAAAGATACTACAGGTTCTCAGAGGGATTATTTAGGTTCTTTAAACTTTCCTGCTGAGCTGCAGTATGATTTCCTCTTTTCCTGGAGGCCCATGATCCCAAACTGGATGACTATCACATGTCATCATGGTTCACTGGACCACTAAGGAACATCACATTTTTTAGACAAAGATGGCATGAAAATTTTATTTCAGTTCAGTGTTTGTTGTTTATTTATTTAATTAAAGGTTTTATTTATTTTAGAAAGAGAGAGAGCACCTGAGCAGGGGAGGGACCAAGGGGGAGGGAGAGGGAGAGAGAATCTCAAGCAGACTCCATGTTGAGTGCAGAGCCTGAAGTGGGGCTCAATCTCATGACCCCAAGATCATGACCTGAATGGAAACCAAGAGTCAGACACTTAACTGACTGAGCCACCCAGCAGCCCCTCAAGGCTTATATTTAAGGAGAATTCGTTTACTTTGTACACTTGATGATGGTACAAAAAGTTATTCTGAATTAAACAAATTATTATTGACCACAGAATATACACATTCCTAATTTAAGAAAATTAAAATTTGGTTTAAAAACAACTATAAAAGAAACTTGATTTATTTATAATTATTCTGACAGAAAACTCAATGGCATTCTCTCATGATGCAACAGGCTTAAAAAACTGATCTCATAAAATTAAACTTATCAGAAAATTCCTAAGAATTCCTAGATTTTATTTATTTATTTATTTTATTTTTTAATTTTTTTTTAAAGATTTTATTTATTTATTTGACAGAGAGAGAGTGAGAGCAGGAACACAAGCAGGGGGAGTGGGAGAGGGAGAAGCAGGCTTCCCGCTGAGCAGGGAGCCCGATGTAGGACTCGATCCCAGGACCCTGGGATCATGACCTGAGCCGAAGGCAGACGCTTAACGACTGAGCCACCCAGGCGCCCGAATTCCTAGATTTTAAAAAAAGATTTATTTATTTATTTTGGGGGGGAGTGCATGTATTGGGAGGGCAGAGGGAGAGGGAGAGAGAGTCCCAAGCAGACTCCCCACTGCGTGCAGGGCCCCACAACCCTGAGATGATGACCTGAGCCGAAACCAAGAGTGGGACACCCACCTGACTACACCACCCAGGTACCCCCAAATTCCTAGATTTTTAAGGAAATACATGAAAAGGCTTTAGTTGGTATACTCCAAATGGTTCGAGAGTATTAAGGTTACCGAGAAGATTGAGAAATTTTGAGATTCATAGGGGAAAAAAGCGGTCAGGAGATTTTTGGTGAGCACCAAATCTGTCAGTGACTTAAAGGGACGCTTTAATCCTTCCAGAACTTCCACGAAGTAGATAGCACCATCCACATTTTAAAGAGGAGAAATTTAAGGAAGAATATAGCCTAAAGTCTAGTAAGTTACAAAGCTGGACCTTGAATTCAGGTGTCCTCAGACTTTAACACTATGCTCTTTCCTCTGGGCTCCACTGCCTTTAAAGTGGTACAAAATACTTACGATTGTCACTAACTCATTCAATTTAATTAAAAAAAGAATAAGATGGAATTTATGGAAAAAATATAAATTCAACCTAAAAGTCTACTGGAGTTCGGTAACATTATTTTTTTTCAGAGTATATATGAAGGCGAAGAGCTAATTTTTCAAGATATTATTTTGGCAGTTACTTGATAGTCACACACATGCAGAATTTTAGTTTCACACTATATGTTAATTCTTTAGACTTGCAATAAGATTTACATAAAAGCTTGGTGTTTCAGTGTGCCAAAGACTTCAGAGAAGAGAAAAACAAAAGTAGTTAAATAATTCTTATAAAACTTATTAACACATAAAAAATAAATTTAAGAAGGAAAAGTCACTTATACTTTCACAATTCTCAATCTCTGGAGAACAATAGTTCAATAATTTTATTTATAAATATTCACACGTGAGGTGGCAAGCTTCCCTTTTTTTTTTTTTTATAAAATGAATCTGTGTCAGTCACATTAGCAGGCCTTCAATATTCAAGGACAAATATTTAGGAATCCTAAAGTTACTGTCGGAGCTAGAAGCTGCAAGATGATGTATACATGACTCTGAGTACAGTGGTAAAGGTTTCATTTTTGCTCAAATAAAGCTAAATTGTGTTTCTACCTTGAAGTACTGAAATCTTTAGTACTTTTTTTTTGATAATTGAAGCTTCTTTATTTATGCTTTTAGGTGGAAATTTTCCATATTATCCTCAAAGCTGTAATTGTAACAGAATAATAAGCATAGGATCAGGTAAAGAAAAGGTTCATAATTTGTTTTACAACATAAATTTCATTAATATATTGAATTCCTTTTGCAATTTAAGTGAATTTAAAATTTTCCAAAGCACAAATTGTTTTCTCAAGTCAATGTTTTCTTGGATATATCTACCAATACAAAAGGCCACAAGGTGATTGCAAGTATCCTCAGCAGCTGAAAAGAGAAAATATCTGATTTAAATAAGCCACAGTCATTTCTGGATCATAAGCGATTTCATTCAGATATCAAATGGGCTGTAAATGATAAACAAAGGTTTCATTGTTTGTCCTGCTCCCTTCCAAGAACTAAGTTAAAAGGTTATTATAACATAAACATTAGATATATACTATTGTTTTAAAGAGTAAGGAAGGAGAGACAGAAATAGAACTGCTAAAACCATTTAAAATCAGACTCACCAGTGACAGTGGCAATTTAAATCTCAGAAAATAGCAATGTGATTAAGATTTTCACTCTATCTTATTTTTATTTGTGGTAATTGCTATTTGCAGTGTTAGTACTTTAGACTGTATTTTAAAATCTATCAATAACAACAGCCAAAAAACCCAAGAAGAGGGTGAAAATCTTAAAGAGAAACAGAAAGCAACTAAGCAAAGCATTTCTTTCTGCATAAACATTATTAATGTCAAGTCTCCACCTTAGAAACTGATTATAAATCAATTCAATCAGGTTGTTGTAATAACTTTAAAAAAACAGATTGTGCAGGTTTTTCATAGATTCAGACTGAAATAATATTACAACAAAAAATACATTTCTGATAAATAAAACTTGTATCTCATTAACCAATGTGAAGTGATGTTCCAAAATATATGCTGTAAGTTGGCCTTAATTCTGACTCCTCAGTAATTAAAAATAATAAAAAGGGGATGCATTAAAAATGTGATGATAATCCGATACCACAAATAGCTAAATGTAGACTCTGCTGAGGCATTTTTATTATATACGAAAGAGAAAACACTGCTGACAATCTCAATAGACTTTAGAATAGATAAGGGTGGAAATACAAGCAGGATTTCATGAAGGAAAAATATAATTAAAAAACAAAACAAACCCCATCTCCCCCCATAAAACAATTACCTCAGGTGATGCAAATCCTAAATATTCCCAATCCCATGTTCCACCAGCAAAGCTACAAAGAAATTAGACATACCACTTGATTTATTATCAGCACTACAAAGTACAATCAGACCCTCGCCCAATGAACATTACTTTTAAGTCCTCTGCTTGGAACTTGCTTAACCATAGTAGATCAACTGCTGAATATAATTAAAATGATACTTTAAATCATGGAACACTACATCAAAAACTAACGATGTAATGTATAGTGATTAACATAACATAATAAAATTCCAGAAAAAAAAATACTTTCTTTCAAATTCTGAATTGCTTTATGTTTGTGTAAAATGGTAGAAAAATAAAATTCATCATGCCATATCAGAATATTTTATGATTCCTTCTATTTTTATTTTATAAATGTTTATGTAATGAAAATAGGGTCAAAGGAATTTCTAATGCTTATAATTATTATGAATAAGGAAATAGGCTTCAATTTATAATGGCAGTAGTATAAGTATCTGAAAGAAACAACTAAAACTCAACTGTTCTTTAATGGATGAATATGAATCACTTAAATAACTTTATTAATATCAGATTTCTAATTTCTTCATAACCTCTTATATAAAAATATAAATAAGACCATAATAAGTTGGCAAGGCTTCCAAATTCAACATTGTAAGATATTTATGACTATCAGATCACTACATATATTACATATTTGAAGTGATGCATTAGAATACTTTGAATTACGAGTTCACTGAAGTATGAAATTAACCTAGCCTAATTTAGTCCAAGAAACTACACAAAGACAAACAAAATATAAGAAAGATAGAAATATAACTGGGGGGGAAAAATCCCCAAAAAGAAGTTAACATGCTTTTATCAGCTCTCTGTATTTTAGATATGAGTAACTTCCAGGAATATGAACCCTAGTTAGATAAAAAAATAAACCTGGTGGCATTTGTGGCTGGAGCTAGGATGATTTCCATAGCATGCATCCTTTTTACCTGCGCCTTGGAGCTTCTGGTGAGTCTGCAGGAGCAACTCCCCGAGCCACAGATGCCAGGAATTCTTGTCTCTTCTGCTGTACAAGGCACGCTGCCTTGATGATCTTGTGGCGGGGTGTGCGAAGGTAAGGCCTATTGACTTTTTGGGCAAGGTCTTCAGTGACCATTTCTAGGTCTGTCTATGTTAAGAAAAGAAAGAGAGAAAAAAGAAGGATTATAGGCTGAGTAGGTTAGTCAGCAGCAAATCCCCTGTCTATGGTTTCTCAGTTAAATCTAATTCTTTTGAAGTAAAAAATTAATCCAAATTATAAAATAACTTCCTATTTAATATATACTTCTATTTTGTACATTTCTGGAAAATAGCACTCTTTTGAAAGGCATTTATAACAATGTAGTTGGTACAGATTACAAAGACAGTGAGTATGCCAAATGTCTACAGGGAATTTACCATTTGTCTATGTAGAAAAAAAAAAAAGTAAATTTCAAGGCATTGTATATGCAAATACATGACTGTGTAGTGTAAACTATATGTAAATGCTAAAGGAATTTGAGGTAAGGCAAGATCCCTGTGATCTGGGGTTAGATCTGAAAGGCTTCATGGAGAAAATTAATATTGAGCATTTTTAAAAAGAGATGTAGGATATAAATTACTAGAGGACAGCTCAAAGGGATGACAAGGAAATTGTGGCAAGAGAAGAAAGTTTGGTGGATTAAAAAAAAAGAAGTACAATGAAGTTGTTCAGCTATAGTGATGTCAGTTGGCTTAGGTGTTTTTCTTTTTAAATACTGTAACTTTTTCAGTTGTACTTTTAAAATAAACTAGTAAACAGCAACTTTCCCATCTAGTATGTAATGTGGTTTGTTTCATCTTTGAAGATAAAATTTGGAATTACATATTAAGAATTAGGCCAGATTTCAACATCAGCCAGTTTAAAACAAATAAACAAATGTGGTAGGAAATGTTTACATCGCTCAGAACTCACTCGGATCTGCAGTGGTAAATTTAAATACAAAAAAATTTCAGTTTATTACTGGTAACTTTTCCTTTACTTAAAAACCATTCTAAAAATGAAAACAAAATTGTTTTCTAGTCACAGCCAAATAAGATAAAACTTAGCTAAGTGGTTGAAAAAGGACAAAATCTGTTTTTTATAAAAATTGCATTTAAATTTAATTTTAAGAAGATATCTTACTTGCATGAGTTCAAAAATTTCTTTCTTTGTGCTTTTAGGTTCTAAGAAAAATCCATATGGGTAAGAACACTTGAGAATGCGTCGAGTTTTTAAGAGCACATGAACTGCATCTTCAATGAAAGTGGTATCTGGACAGCCTCCTTCAGCTATAAAGTAAATCAGGCACAGTGAAAAAAAATTGTTTTGCAAATATGTGTTATAATTAAACGACTGAGTTTTCCTAAAAAACAACAACAAAGGATCTCTCTGAAAAAACTGTTTGAAGTAACTGTATGATAGTAATTATCTGAACTAGACTAAACACCTACACAAAACACTCATGCGTGGCTTGTCTGCATTTATAAATGAAGCACACACTGCAGTTGCCCAGGAGCACTGATGGTAGTCATTAAGGAATGCATACCCTGATTCTGGATTCTGTTCTCACCCTGTTGGTTAAACAAATCTAGCTTTAGGTCAGCTCTTCTTTACTATATTTTTCAGGTTATCTCTAGTGAAACTTTGCTGATTAAAAATTAAAACAAACGGGAGCTCCTGGCTGGCTCAGTCAGAAAAGCATGCAACTCTTGATCTTGGGGTTATATGTTTGAGCCCCATGTTTGGTATAGAGATTACTAAAAAAAATAAACTTAAAAAAAAAAAAGAATTAAAACAAATGCCCTGCTCAGTTGTTTGCCAAAAAACAAAACAAAAACCAAAAAACCAAAAAACCCCCACCAAATTATGATTATGCTTCTGCAAAAACATTGTAAGAAAAAAGATACAACATTCTGGGGAACAACTGGATAACTAATGCTAGTAAATATATCAAGAAGAGAAAGAAAGGGAGGGAGACTGAGGAAGAGGGGAGAAGAAACTGCCTTACTATCTGAGACCGTTCCTTCTCCAAGTATCATTATAACATTCTAGCTTTCTCCTTAACTGCAAATAAAGGGAAACTAAGGAGTAGAGTCTAGATTCATAAGTGCTTTTGAAAGTAACATTATTCTGCAGGCTTGTGGAAAGAAATTACATGTGTATATACACACATTGATGTACAGACCATCCCCAAATATCTACCCTAGCAGAGGGATCTGAACTAAGAAGATGTAAAAAAAGAAAAACAAAACAAAACAAACCCACTATGACATGTGTGAGAAGTATGTGAAGTTTTGTTTCTTCCTTTCCAATCCTTGTAACATTTCTTTTTCATATCTCATTATGTGGTCTCCGTCTCGAACCTCCAGAAGGTTGAAAAGAAGCAGTAATTCACATCTACAGATATTTATCGAATGTTTACTATGTGTCAGGCACTGTTCTAAGCATTAGGGACAACCCAGTGATGTAAGAGACAAAAATCCCCGTTGAAGAACTGTAGAACCGGTGAGGGTTTTTTCCTTTTCATTTTTACTGTGGACAGTACTTCAAGAGTTTGATAATGGCGATATAGTTACATCATTCCTAAAGTCTAAAAACTAAATATTAGCAAGGAGACAAAGCTGCTATTGAATACTTTTTCTCCTACTCTAATTTATTTCATTTATGCTTACTATCTTAATTAGGGAATTACCCTCATGAAAAGGGTCTTACTTTTACAAACTGGAGCAAATATAATTGCATTTTTAGGCTGAAAACCTTTTATATATAAACTATGATTATTTTAAAATGTGACTTTTTAAAACAAACATGGTAGAACCTATACTCTGTGTGGTCATTGTGAGATATTATATTTTAATGATGCAATCAATACTCAATACATTTTAGGAATGTTCTTTCTGAATTTCCATTTTAGGATCCATAAGTCAGCCCCATCTCCTGTCTTTGCTTTCAGACTCTAATGTCCTTTATTTATCAGTGAGAAGATTTCTCCCCAAACTGTATTTGACTTCCATTCCATTAAGCAGTCTGCTCAATTTTCTCAAGAATCTTTGGGAATTTAGTCACACTACAACTGGGTGATACATGAATCTTGCTCTTTTGACGAGGTCAGGGATGCCTTTTAGGGCTCATGCACTGTTCCAGACACTGGAGAGCATCAGTGGTGGCACAGAGTAAGCAAAACCATGATGTGTGTTTATCTGCTAACAATATAGGCTGCATTAAGAGGAACATTATGAGCTAAGCCGGGTAGAAAATCTCATTACAGAGGCCTCAAATGCTAAGCTGCACTCTGGGCTTCTGAGAACTCCAAGCAGTACCAGAATGAGCAGCGCAGATAATAATGTATTCCTTGAAGGGCCTTAACCTCCTACCAATGAAGTGACTTAAGCATGTAAGGTTATTTTAGATTAATTATCACACATACCACTTATAACTTACTTTCTTTGAGAGCTCTACTCAATTGCTCCATCTTTTCTTTGGCTGTTTTAAGAAGGCGTTGTTCTAACTAAAGGAATAGAAATAAATAATTTATATAATTTTCTTTATTTATACACAACAGTATAAGTCAGAGCATTTGAAATGATTTGGGACATACCTGGTAGCTATGCTCATGGTTTTTAAATCTTGTGTAATAGTGCATAAATCTGTCAAGTTCCTGAAATCGTTTGTGTTTTTTCTCAGCCTAGGAAACAAAAGTCCATAAACGACTTTTATAAATAAGGTACTAGCTATTAAAATTGGGGACTTTTTGTCACTTAAAATTTTTATTACTAATAGGTAGCTGTGCATACAGATTTCATTATTTTGAGGAAAAAAAAACCAACAGTAGATTTTTAAGGCTACCAGAACAAAGTCTTGCATTTGTATTCTCTATGATAAACCACTGAACCTATGATCCCAGAGCATAAGGCAAAGATGCCCCTCAAGACCTACATTTAACAGATCTTCAATGTTTTATTATATTGCTTTTGCTATGGACTGAACTGTATGTCCCCAAAATTCACGTTGAAGCCTTAACCCCCAATGTGAATGACTGGATTTGAAGATAGGGCCTATGAGGTGATAAAGGTTAAATAAAGTCATTGGGGTGGGGCCATAACCCAGTAGAATCATTGCTCTTTTAAAAAAAGGAAGAGACACCAGAGCTCTCGCTCTCTACCATGTGAGGATATAGCACAAAGAGAGCCAGGCCACTGCAAGCCAGCAAGAGAGTCATCACCAGAAGCTGAATTGGCAAGAATCTTGATCTTGGACTTCCTAGGTTCCAGAACTGTGAGAAATACATCTCTGTTGTTTAAGCCACTCAGTCTATGGTATTTTGTTACGGAAGCCAAGCAGACGAAGAGACTTACTATATGCTGTAACAGAATACTGTATTGTTGATATTATGTTAAAATTGTTTTTACGTCATTATAGAGACAGGGATATATAAGACTTTAACAAAATAAAAAAGGGAAAATTAAAAAAAAGAAAGCTCTCAAGTTGACAGACCTATTTTATTTAAATTAAAGGCTACTCTAAAGTGTATTCAATCTGGGGGGTAAGGAAAAAAAATAAAGTGTATTCAATTTAATGCCTCATTACTACAAAAGATAGGAAAATGAAGAAATGCAAAATATTCCCAATGGTATTAAGTGGTTTAGCCAGAGGCCTTAATTTAAACAGTTCTCACCTCCACAGTCATTTCCTTGGATTGCTCCTCCACATGCTGAATGACTTCATAGCGAGTACATCTGTAATAACCTCCTGTGGAAGAACTATGCTTTTTCCATTCTTCTAGGCAAATCCAGCAAAAGTCATACTTGCACTTCAAAAGAAAACATATATGCAAACATTGCCCTGTGTTAACATTCAAATTATTTTCTGATTTCTAGTCAACCACTTTGTAGAGATCAAGCAATTCTGCCTGTGTGACCAGGAACAAATCTTAAAGACATGCCGTCTTTTTCATGTTTCCTCTGGAGACCTTATCTGTACTACAGAAAGATGTGGAGGGTAGTTTAAAATGACCACTTATAAGGATATATTAAAACGTAAATCATAATATTATGAAGTAATATCAAGGAATCTTTAAAAATATCAATAGGATATTCTTTCCCACAATAAAGACAAATACTGACAATGTTTCATTTTTCAAGTGCATGGTAATCTTACTTTGGTACATAGAGCTTCACCAGTCTTCATCAGAAGAAGTTTTTTTATGACTTTGATAAATTGTTTTTGAAACTAGGAACAAGTTTAAAAGGTTTCCAAGTAGAAAGACTGACATAAAATGTTTCTTTTTTTTTTTTTAAAGGAACTCATTTTTTTTTAAGATTTTATTTATTTATATGACAGAGAGAGACACAGCAAGGGAGGGAACACAAGCAGGGGGAGCGGGAGAGGGAGAAACAGGCTTCCCGCCAAGCAGGGAGCCCGATGCGGGGCTCGATCCCAGGACCCTGGGATCATGACCTGAGCCGAAGGCAGATGCTTAACGACTGAGCCACCCAGGCGCCCCATAAAATCTGTTTCTTATTTTTAAGAAAATTTCATTTTATTACCATAATTGGCCAATAATACCAAAAATACGAGCATTACAGTATGAAAATACACCTTTTTTTTAATGCTTATGGATTTTGGGTCAGAGGGATCTTCCCATTTCAAATCTGTTTTCTTCTGGTACTTCTATGTTTGTTTCTTTGCTTTTTAAACATTTAAATATTTGCGCTGTTCATGGGTATACAGTATACAGTATGAATTCAACTTTATTTTTTTCCACACAACTGCCCAGTTGTCTCAATCCTATTTATTGAACAGTCCATGTTTCTCCCCTACTGGAGATCCTCCTTTACCATATATTAAATTCCCACATATTTCTATATTCTGGGCTTTTTATTATAATTTCATTAATCTCTAGATTCATGTGCCAGCACAATGCTGTTTTAATTACTGAGCCTTTACAATAGGCTCACTATTTGACAAGGCTAGTTCTTCCTCACTGTTCTTTTTCAGAGTTTTCCTAGCTCTTCTTGCTTTGTTTTTCCACGTGAACTTTTGAATTAGAATTATCTAGATGCAGAAACAAAACCTGCTGGTATTTTCACTGGAAACTTTCTATCCAACAACTTTGGTACCTTTCCATTTGTTTGTCATCTTTTGTGTCCTACAGAAAGTGGTCTTAAAGTTTTCTTTATAAAAATTTCGTACATTTAAGTTTTTTTCTAGATAAATGAGATCTTCTCTTTCAGTACATATTTTTTTTTTTTTTAAAGATTTTATTTATTTATTTGACAGAGAAGGACACAGCGAGAGAGGGAACACAAACGGGGAGTGGGAGAGGGAGAAGCGGACTCCCTGCCGAGCAGGGAGCCCGATGCGGGACTCGATCCAGGGACTCCAGGATCATGACCTGAGCCAAAGGCAGTCGCTCAACCAACTGAGCCACCCAGGCGCCCTCTTTCAGTACATATTTTGTCCGGATGTTTTTGGTACAAATGAAGGCTATTGCCTTCTGCATATTAACTTTGTACTCTGCTAATTAATTGAATTTTGTTGTTACTAGTTTTTAAACTGATTCTTGTGGGTTTTCTAGGCATTTAATCATGCTATCTGCAAAAAAATAAATTTACTACTTCATTTCTAATTTTTACATCTTTAATTTCTTCCTATTGTCTAAATATGCTGACTGGTATCTCTAGTCCAATGTTAACAATATTTGTGATTGAGAGTATCCTTATCTTGTTCTTGATTTTAGTGAGAGTACCTCTAGTTATCATGCTAACTTTTGCACTGAACTAGATTTACTTTTATCATACTAAGGAAGAGTCCATCTTTGAGTGTTTTAATAAAGAATGGTTGTTGATTTTTTGTCAAATGCCTTTTTAGCAACTACAGAACATATGTATGATTCTTCTCTTTGGATCTACTAATAAGATGAGGTATAGCAATAGCTTTTTTTTTTTTTTTAAAGATTTTATTTATTTATTTGACAGAGAGAGACACAGTGAGAGAGGGAACACAAGCAGGGGGAGTGGGAGAGGGAGAAGCAGGCTTCCCGCGGAGCAGGGAGCCCAATGTGGGGCTCGATCCCAGGACCCTGGAATCATGACCTGAGCCGAAGGCAGACGCTTAACGACTGAGCCACCCAGGCGCCCAGCAATAGCTTTTTAAATAGTGAACCATTCTTGGGGTGCCTGGGTGGCTCAGTTGGTTAAGCGGCTGCCTTCAGCTCAGGTCGTGATCTCAGAGTCCTGGGATAGAGCCCCATGTTGGGCTCCCTGCTCAGCGGGAAGCCTGTTTCTCCCTCTCCCTCTGCCTGCTGCCCCCCCTGCTTGTGCTCTCTCTCCCTGTCAAATAAATAAAACCTTTAAAAAAAAATAAATCCTTCCTCCTGGTGTTCTTCAAGTTTATTCTGTTTTTCTAATTTTTTGAGTCATATCCTTAACTCATTCCTTATTTTGTATTGTTTTAATGAGGCTATGCACATTTCTGAGCATTGCTCTAGATCAGGTGCTCAGGGTCTGATAAAGTAGTATTTCCAAATGAAGAGGCCTTTTATAACTTTATTATTAATTTCTATTTTATTCCATTATGATCAGAGAATGTTGCTATTACCATTTCTATTTTCTGAAGTATTACTGAGATTTTCTTTGATGATCAATGGTCAAATTTTTTGCTATTGCTCCACGGATACTTGCAAACATGGTGTAATCCATGTTTTCAGGATACAAAGTCTGAATATATAGCAATCAGATATATCTTAGTCATTATGCTAAGTCTTCTATATCTTTATTAATTTTTTCTCTACCTGATAGGTCACAGACAGAGAACTAAATTAAAATTTGTGTCCTCATTAGCCCTTCACTAACAGGTACTTATACAATAAATTGTAGATATCAAGGTTCTGAGAGCATGCAAGTTCTTTTATTGCTTGGTATAAGCAAACTTTGTGCCTGGTTTGATACAAGTTACCCTTCAGTACATCTCTACTGATGTCTCAAATTAGTGGCAGAACTTTCTACAAAACAGCCATATTTTATATTCTATGATAAGAAAAAGAATACAGAACTTTAGTAACTTTTATTTTTTAGTTGCAGCATACAGTTTTACAGAGGCAGATGAGGAAAATTACTTATTATAAGTGATTTAAAATGTGTAAGAATGCAAAATTTAAATAGTTCCTGAAAATTAGCTAAAGGGAAATGAATAAAGTTTTTAAAAATAAAACTATTTTTATAAGGCCAAATTTGTCATTCTTCTAAAATGTTTAATAATTTGATTCCAGAAAGTAAAAACTGTATTGAATCATAATCAACACTGTGGCAGTAATAAAAGTATATCATGATTTAGTCATTGTGTTAGAGCATGGATTCAATTACATATGATCTGTTGTTCCACCTTCCCATATAAAAAAAATTCTAAAAGTATGAAATTTTTTTGTAGCAAGGTTATTACTTTCTAGATGTCTTTCTTCTATGTCCTAAGAATTACCTGATAGTTTCTTTCGTTCAATGCAAATACTTCAGATGGTATATCAGATAAGACTACTACATTTCCATAGTGTGCAAGTAAATGTTTCTTTTATTTTTTATTTATTTTATTTATTTTATTATTTTTTTTTATTCTTATGTTAATCCCCATACATTACATCATTAGTTTTAGATGAAGTATTCCATGATTCATTGTTTGTGCATAACACCCAGTGCTCCATGCAGAATGTGCCCTCCTCAATACCCACCACCAGGCTAACCCATCCTCCCACCTCCCTCCCCTCTAGAACCCTGTTTGTTTTTCAGAGTCCATCATCTCTCATGGTTCGTCTACCCCTCCGATTTCCCCCGCTTCATTCTTCCCCTCCCGCTACCTTCTTCTTCTTTTTTTTCTTAACATATATTGCATTATTTGTTTCAGAGGTACAGATCTGAGATTCAGAGAAAGACATGTATCATATGATCTCACTGATATGAGGAATTCTTAATCACAGGAAACATACTGAGTGTTGTTGGAGTGGGGGGTGGGGTGGGAGGGATGGGGTGACTGGGTGATAGACACTGGGGAGGGTATGTGCTCTGGTAAGCGCTGTGAAATGTTTCTTTTAAATGCAACAGAAGCTTAAGCAAAATCTGTTTAAGATAAATTATCTTATATCATGAGCCTGATGAATTCATAAAAATATTCGTATTTATCAACTACTTACTACTGGTAGGTGCTTTGAAGTTAATAAAGGTAACTGGATAACTGGATCTTGCCCTTTTTATTAGTAGCCCAATGGCCGATTTTTATGGTCAACCTGTGTTTCTTTATACATCTATATAGTCTATATCAGATTTTCCAAGAAAAAACTAATAATGATGTTAGAGATAAGACCACAAATAAAATATTTTTGGCCTGATCAGCTGAACTAATAAGCACCTTTGAGCATTTTGCTCAGAACACTGTACTATGTTTTTCCTCTTCTCTCTTAGGAAGTCGTTATTACTATCTCACTAAGCGAATTCATTTATGTTAATTTTATAGTAATAATAGGCTTATAAAAATGATCTGGTAACTGCTGTTTTTTAAATGTAATAGTGATAATGATCATTAGCTTTAACATTAAAAATCAAGTAATACTTAGAAGATATAGATTTTTGTTATTGGAATATTCTTAACTATTTGGGTTTCTTTTACATTGTAAATTGAAAGTTACATTGTTCTTTCAATTTTAAATAATTATTTTTATATACATGGAACTTCCAATGAAAAAGAAAAAAATTGGAATATTATAATTTTAAAACAAAAGTGTTCATAAATGTAGGCATGGATTAATAAAATATTAACCTAATTCCAGAATATTTGTTTTATTTATTTTTTAAAGATTTTATTTACTTATTTGACAGAGAGAGAGACATAGCGAGAGCAGGAACACAAGCAGGGGGAGTGGGAGAGGGAGAAGCAGGCTTCCCACAGAGCAGGAGCCCGATATGAGGCTCGATCCCAGGACCCCGGGATCATGACCTGAGCGGAAGGCAGACACCCAACGACTGAGCCACCCAGGCACCCCAGAATATTTGTTTTAAATATGGCAGTTTCTTTCTATGCAACTAAGCCAGGAGGGTAGCCTTCCACAAGTAATTATTTATATTAATTATGTTTCAGTCAAGAAGATCTTTGTTGGCATTTTCAATACTGTAATGAATGAATTATTTATTTAACTGATGATTTCACAGCAGACCTAAGTCTGTCCACTGCTTTGGGTACTTTTATTATATAGCCACCTATACACAGACACCAACTTAGATGTGGACTTAGGGGAATTGCCTGGGGCCTGACTTGGGCCTTGAATCTAAGCTGTGTGCTCAAAAGCCAGTTTTGTAAGAGATCTCATATAAAATAGCACTTTATCTTTTAATATTATCATTTTTTAAAGATTTTATTTATTTGAGAGAGAGAGAATGAGAGAGAGAGCATGAGCGGGGTGACGGTCAGAGGGAGAAGCAGACTCCCTGCTGAGGCGGGAGCCTGACATGGGGCTCGATCCCAGGATCCCGGGGCCATGACCCGAGCCGACTGAGCCACCCAGGCGCCCCTAATATTATTTTTTATATACAGACAAAACTCTCTCAGGATCCTCACTGGGCAGGGGTGGGGAGGGGCTTGTTGATCAGCAGGTAAGATTTCAGGATCCTCACTAGGAGAGATTAGCAGGGAAGCGATTCAGGCATTTCTCACCTTCAGGCCAAATACCACTGAATCCTTAACTTATTTTTAACATTCATTATGAGTGTAAAAGGTAGTAGTATAAAGCAATACTTACGTTATTCAACAAAGAATATAGAATGTAATCTCCTGGAATCCATCTGAAACCCAGCAACAGTTTTATGCTTGTTTCTTCTTTGGATTAAAGTCAAATTAAGATTCTAACTACAAACATGCAAAATCCTCTTTAAAGCTTCTTACCTTAGCACACTGCATGTGATTGCATCCCTCATTCTTCTGTATCGGAGACTTACAGTTAGCACAAGGCTTAGAGTTAGTTAATAACCAGAGACAATTGGCAGCATCCTCATAAGCTTCACTAACTCCTACAACTTTGGGACACAAACACAAAACACATGAGTTACTGTATAACTTCAGAGGGAACCCCGTCCCCCACAAAGTTTTCTTTGCAGATTGTCTCTCAATTTTAACTATATATTTATTTTCCTATTAGGGTATATGGCAAAGTTTTTAAACTGCTTCATTTTGAATAGCATGATTATAGTATGATAAGGGGCTGTATTCCAAAAGTTCTATTTATGAAATCTGATTTAAAGGAGATTTTTCTCTAAAGTTGTGTCCAAATAAACTGGGGAAGAAAAGAACTAAAGCTAACAAAAAGCAATATATTATTGTCTGTTTAAAATAACTATTGCATCGGGGCGCCTGGGTGGCTCAGTCGGTTAAGCGTCTGCCTTCGGCTCAGGTCATGATCCCAGGGTCCTGGGATCGAGCCCCACATTGGGCTCCCTGCTCAGCGGGAAGCCTGCTTCTCCCTCTCCCACTCCCCCTGCTTGTGTTCCCTCTCTCGTTGTGTCTCTCTCTGTCAAATAAATAAATAAAATATTAAAAAAAAAAACTTGCATCAAAGAGAATTACAGAAAGAATGGTAATTTTAGACAATAATTTCTTAAATGGGTCAGCTGCAAACATAATGACCAGATACTCTTCATCATAGTAAAAAACACGAAAATTATATTGAAATATCACTTTTTTTTTTTGAAGATTTTATTTATTATTTGACAGAGAGAATGAGAGAGAGAGAGCACATGAGAGGGGGGAGGGTCAGAGGGAGAAGCAGACTCCCCGCCGAGCAGGGAGCCCGATGTGGGACTCGATCCTGGGACTCCGGGATCATGACCTGAGCCGAAGGCAGTCGCTCAACCGACTGAGCCACCCAGGCGCCCTCACTATCTTTTTTTTTTACCCATGATTATTTCAGATAAACTAAAAATGAATCCACTGTGACATGTCTAAAACTAAACTTACCATTTCCCCTAAACCTGCTCCTTTCTCTATTCCCTGTCCTGGTAAATGATATGGTCATCTACTCAGAATCAATCCAGGAAGAGCATGATCTTGGATACCCTCCTTTCTCCCTCACCTGCTACATTCCATAGTTTCTACCATTTTCTCTTTCTTATCTGTCTCCTCTCCATTTCTACTTCTTACTGCTTTAGCTAGGGTCCTCCACACCTCCTGCTTTGACAATTAATAAACCAACCCATCTCCCCAGCTCCTTATGCCCCCAGCTTCCACTATACTGCCTAGAGTGATCTTTGAGGAATACGTATCTCCTTGAAATCTTTTAGATGCTCCCCACTGACTGCAAGATAAAATCAAATTGTTTTAGCAAAAAATACCTTCATGATTTGGCCACTGTCCACCTGGCAAGATTCTCCCTCCCTCTAACCCCATGCCAATCTTATATTCTTCATCTTAAACTCAATTTATTCTATTTTGATTTGAGATCTGCAGTCTTAAGGAATGTCATGATTTTAAATGATTCTAAATCTCATAAACCCACACCCTTCCCAGCACCCCAAGTGGAGCGAGTTAGGTACTAGAGAGAGGTCCAGAGGCACAATTACTTTCTCCCTCCTTGTCAGTAATCGAATTTGTTTTGTTTTCTAGCTTTAAGTGCATAGGAAAGCTCTCCCTTTTCTTTCCTGAAAGAGATGTCCAAAAATTACTTTGAAATCACTGAAAGTGGCCCATCCAATCAAGGCCCTGATTACATGCAGACACTCTCAAAAGGATGGGGAAAGGAGTTAGCACTTCTGTTAAAAGCAGGTGAGAAATCAGACTCCTTGAGTTTTGAGGTTTATTTTTTTATTTTATTTTATTTTTTTTAAAAGATTTTATTTATTTATCTGAGAGAGAGAATGGGAGACAGAGAGCATGAGAGGGGAAAGGTTAGAGGGAGAAGCAGACCCCCCGCTGAGCAGGGAGCCCGATGTGGGACTCGATCCCAGGACTCCAGAATCATGACCTGAGCCGAAGGCAGTTGCTTAACCAACTGAGCCACCCAGGCGCCCCGAGTTTTGAGGTTTAAAAGGAAAAGTGACCCAACCCTGGAGAGGGAAGGGAGACAAGCATTTGGGTTGAGTGACCCCTGGAAAGTGGCTCAGTACATGAACTGGAAGAGGTGAGCACTAGGAGCAGCCCTTTGATGGAGCCTTACCAATGCAGGAGTGGGGCTGTCTTGCCACAAAGAACACCAAGGTGCCTACACACTTAAGTTTGTTCAACAACAGAACAGCAGTGCTGGACTGGGAAGCACTGGTTTTCAGTTCCATACAGCAAAGAGAAACAACTGCAGCAATGAAGTGATCAGACCCACTTCAGTTCTAAACCCACTTGATAGAAGATGGTTTGATTAGGGTGTTGCTAGAGAATTCTCAGTTAATTTGGTGGAGAACAGGAGTTTCAGGAGGAACTTACTAACTTACGGCTAATCCGGTCAAGCTGTGGAGGTAATGCCATTTACAGAGGGTACTGCTTTAAAACCTAATCACTAAGTATAATGTCTAATTTTTTTTTTTTTTAAATAGTGGCCTGTCTCCTCCCTTCAGCATCAACATTATTTTTAGCTCAGAGGCTCTAATATATTCTTATGACCTTTATTGTCCATTGTTATAATAAATAAAGCACAAAGCCATTAAAACAAAGCAGCTTGTGTGACTTGCAACGTAACAGTTTTTTTCTCCCACCCTTGGAGAGAATGCTAGTTCCTAACTGCATTCTAGAGGATTGTATAAAGTAAACTGTGTTCAGGAAATAACTATTATTTTTTTTTACTATTATTAAAACAAAAACTTGTACTGGAAAAAATGCCTTTCCTTCTAGTTCTCCAAACAAAGTCATTTCACATATCTGCCTTCTGTATACACTTTGCTTCATACCTACATTACCTTATCTCCCCCTTCCATCGACCTGGTGAGTTTTCTTCACCCTTACTGAGTTCCAGACTCTTCCCTTGACTTCAGTTATATGTCTATTGTATCCTGATCTTCTTTCTTCAATAATCTAGTGTGCTTAGGTCTCCTTGTAAGAAATATTAGCTTCATTTAATCAAGTATTAGTGCATTAACAATCTAAGATCTACTAATAGAATCAATATGTGTGCAAGTGAAAACAAAGTTGGTTTATTTATTTTTATTTATTTTTTTGAGAGTGAGTAAAGCGACAGAAGTTTGTTAAAAAAGGATACAGAAAAATCTCTCAGGAGTGAGAAGGGTCCTGACAGTGTTGCCCAAAACAAAGTTGATTTTATTTTTATTTTTAAATTTTTTAAAAAAGATACTATTTATTCATTTGAGAGAGAGAGAGAGAGACAGAGAGAGCACAAGCAGAGGGAGAGGGAGAAGCAGGCTTCCTGCTGAGCAGGGAGCCCCATGTGGGGTTCGATCCCAGGACCCTGGGATCATGACCTGAGCTGAAGGCTGATGCTTAACCGACAGCCACCCAGGCGTTCACAAAATTGATTTTAAAGACTGACTTCTTAAGAAGAATATTTGAATTCCGTTCAGTAATCATTTATTATGTACTATGGAAAAACTGGTCTCAGAGTTTTTATAAAATAACCAGTTTCACAGAAAATATAATCACTCCCTCTTCTTGTCTGATTAGACATAACAGAGGCAGTTTCAGTGCTGAAAAATAGTATTTGAATCTTTATATGGAATTCTTTGAACGAATCTTAGTATATAATGCTATGCACTTAGCATTTTTTCTCATTAATTAGATTTTGTCACTCCTTTTGAGTCTCATAATTCAAAGACTTTGGAAAACTAGGCATAAGGGAGAAAATGATCTCATGAATCGACAAGTTCAGTTGTAAATGCTTATGCCAAAAGTATGTATGTGACCATGACCCAAATTAATATGTAAACAATACAGCATTAAATCATACTTTTCTTTCTTGGAATATTATTTTTATGTATTTAATGATGATGTTCCGCTTAAGCCTTACAGTTGGCCTAGTATTATTTGCTTTAAGCCTCACCCTAAATTTCATAAACTTAAGTGGCCATTAATAGTAGTCAGCTGGTCATCACATTTCTGTCTGGAGGACAATGAGAAAACTCCTAGGTTTTTCTCAGCAACTGGGAACTTACTCTGCAGTCTTGGCTTTGGTCCTTCTATGGCAGACAACTTTTCAGGTGTCCTCAGTCCCTTATCTTCTATCCAATTTTCTCAAGTTCCTCTGTCTTTCTGAATTAAAACCCCATTTAGGACTGTTTGAGGAAGTCTTGTTTTTCACTTGAGGTCTCCCTGTCTCTGGCCACCAGAAGTAACTGTGTATACACCATACATACCATTTTCTAGTTCTTCTATTTCTCTTCTGTCCTCATTATCAGGATCATGGTCATATGTAAGGGTATTTTGTCACAGTCCCAGTGATAATCTGTACTTACTAGCCAGGTTGTTCTCTCTCTCTCTTTCGCCCTAGTAAAAACTTATTCGTGGGTATGGAATGAATGACCAATTTTACAATGGTAAGACATAAGTAAAAACACCCATTTCAAAATGTTTGTTTCATATCTTAAATCGGACACTTACAGCCATTTTCTGCTCAATAATTAATAAATAATATATTGTGCTAATTATTTCTTGTGGTGCGTTTACACTTCCAGGCAACTGGTAAGTACACTATATTTACAACTAAATAAAACTGCATCTTCTTTAACTCTCCTGTATACCTCTCCTCTCTTGTTTGCATTGCCCCTGTCTTGTTCAAACCCTCATTATCCTCTCATTCTGAAGTTTTCTAAGAAACATTCTGAAGTTTTCTAAGAAACAGCATTCTTACTTGTCTCTCAATAGTCTCTATTCACCGTCCACACTTTTACCTGAGTGACCTAAGCATCTTCAATTCTCATTCTCCTCCTCAGAACTGCTTTTCAGTGTCTCAGGATGAAGTCAGACCTCCCAGCACTCCATAGAACCCCCGCCCTGACACCGGATTGGGACTTCTGCCTGTGCGGTCTCATCTGGCAGTGCACCTTCTTTGCGCTGGTTGTACTGCAGAATCTGCAGTCCTTGAACATGCCACGCTATTTCACAGCTCTCTTTCACCTGAAGCCCAAATACCCTTCCTGTTCCGGTTTGTGCGAAGAACATCTTATCAGCTCTCAAGATGCAGCTTGTGCATCAATTCTTTCATAATGTTTTTCCTTACCCTCTCATAGAGAAAACTGATCTTCTCTTTGATCTCTCCCCTCTCTCACAATGTACCACAGGTATGCTGTTCTTTCACAGCATTAATAATACTTCTTTTTCTTAGTTTTGTATATTGCTGTCTTCGTCTCTAAAATGTAAATTTCAAGAAAGTAGGCAGCACCTTATTTCCATATTCTAATATAAAGTAGCACTCAATAAATGTTACATAAATAATATGGATACCACTTAAAAGCAGTAAGTTATTCCTAAGTCTTCTCAGCATCTCTCTGGGCTGCAAACAAGCACTTCTAAAATCCCACTGCACACCTCCACATATATGTCCTATAAGTACCTGAAAGTTCACAATGTCCACAACAAGTCATTTATTTTCCCCTGAAAGGTAATCTCATATCTGAATTTCCTACGTTGACCAATCATCCATCTTTTGACTCAAACTAAAAATTTACCTCCCTATTTTGATCTCTCTATCCTTCAGTCTCACCTGCCCAGTCATCAGTTATCTTCATAAAAATATCTCAGATAATGCTATTTTCCTACTTAAAAAATGTTATCATACAGCTTATTCTGTTAGTAAGATAGCTTCAGACAATTTGGCAAAAATCCTCACAATCTGGCAATGCCTACCTTTCCAGCCTCATCTCTTGCAATTTCTCCCATGGACCTTAATGTTAAGCATCATATAAAGGTATAAAGAAATGTAGGTAGGTGAGCAATAGCCAACCATGTCTAATAGAAATATAAATGTTTCTTGGTGCCAGAAGCAAAACAAGAGAGCAAAATCCAATGGTCTTGTCATGTTTAAAGGCGTTGCAGGATAATGGTATTAATCTGTTTATGGAACTCACACGTATACACAGACCCATACATATCAGGAGAATAGGGAAAATGGGTGGGTGTCAAGGGAGCAATGGCAGGCTATATCTGGCATTCAAGAGACACAATGCACCTGGGGAACAAAAACAATCCATGTGGCTGTTTTTAATTTGGGAAGTTCCTAGCACATAGCAGGTACTCAAAAAAATATTTGTTGATTGAATGATGAATGTACAGGGCAAGAATATTTAATCAGATCTCCCTATAAAATATCCTAAGATTATCCATTTCCTTTTGCTCCTGGATAACGGACATAAACCTTCTCATCATGTGAAAGGGATCCCCCTCATTATCAATTAATAAACTGATATTCTGGTTTACATAGTAGTCTCTTCTTCACGGATTTGAATAACCCTGAGTCAGTGCACAAAATGAATCTCGTGAATATAAAATGCTAATGACCAGTTCTTGGGCAGTGGTATATTGCCCGATATAATACAAGTCTGTAGGGTCTCAGAGCTGTCAGCCAGGCTCTCCCAGCATCACTTTAGCTGCTGATAGGAATACCTACCACATTTCTGCCCTGCAGGTATGCTAAAACCCAATTCCTATCTCACTGCCTTCAGGAGGATTCCGACACCCCCCTGCCCAACCAGATTTAGTTTTCTTGCTTTCCCAACCTGATTTAGTTTTCCTGTTTTTGTACTCTCATCTTTACCCAACTGTATTAGTTATCATATCATACTGCAATGATCTGACTGCTTCCCTTCTAGCTTATATACTTTTGAAGGCTGGCATCATCATCATCATCATGTGCTTTGTTCATAGTAAGTGCAGAATCACTGAGGGAATTCTTAATCCTGATTTGTAATACCTCAAACTAACTCAATTATATAAAAAGTTAAAAAATGAAATTAACTTTTGTATTAATTCGAAAGAAAACAGTTGTCATAAAACACTTCAGGGGATGAAAAATAACTGCAAAGCAATTCCTGTTAAATGCAGGAATTACTATTAGGAAGGCTAATTAAAATCCATTCTGTTTCCAGGCACATGCCCTGTCCCTGATGTCACTCAATCCAATCTAAGTATTAATTACTTCATCTACAAAATGGGATTACTAACACCAATTTCATAGCATTTCCGTAGGATTAATATGTATTTATAGAAATCTCAGTAAAAATAGTTAGACATGCCACTTAAGTAAATCTACAGAGCCACATAATGTCAAGAAATTAACTTGTCTTATCATCCACTGAAGTTTCCAGGGAAATAAGAAGCTTCCTCTCACTACAGTGTATACATTTCTTCCTTAAGGTATAAAAAAGCTAGGTGGTCCACTCCAGGGTAAAGCCCTCCACCCAGCCGTGGGAGGAGGGCTTTAATGTGATCCTGTTTACCCTGCTTATCTTTTTTTTAAAAATGTTTTATTTATTTATTCATGAGAGTCAGAGAGACAGAGAAGCAGAGGCAGAGGGAGAAGCAGGCTCCCCCCTAGCAGGGAGCCCCATGCGGGACTCAATCCCAGAACTCTGGGATCACGACCTGAACCGAAGGCAGATGCTTAACCATCTGAACCACCCAGGCGCCCTACCCTGCTTATCTTAACTGAAAACAGTTAGTTAGAAACATGGAACCTGTCTGTGATTCCCCGCTGCAAAAACCTTGTGATGTCCAAAAGGGTGTTAGTGAGAGGTATAATGTTAAACTGGAGAGCTACAGCATTAACAACTTGAAAACTTACTTAATGAAGACTCTAAGTAATAGGACTACATTATCTTTTGAATGCTATTAGAATATATATAGTATAGCTATCTAAGATTCTCCTTACGTTCTTCCGGTTTCATTTCAGTTATTTTTTGTAGCCAATTTTTCCATGTTTGGCAGTCACAAGGCTCATGTGCTTCACCAAGGCACTCCCTAAGGAAGAAAACAGAGAAGAGGCAATTTAAAAAAATTCTTTATCAACATCAAGGTAATAGACGGAAAGTACTCTTCCAAATTTAAAGTTGAAAAAACTGAGGCACAATGACCAGTGAGAGAAACATTTCAATAGAGGAATTGAAAATGTGATTCCAGAGCTTCATATCACCAGGTCCAATTTTTTTTTTTTTAATCAGTACATTCATTTACACATTGTTAAACGTTCAAAATAGATTACTTAATACTTGTAATTTAGTTTTGCATGCCAGAAGAGCTGTAATATTTTTATCAGTTAGGGTCTGTCTTCACTAATACTTTAAATTCTTGTACTCAAAGTTTGTTCTCTGGGCGAGCAGCCTTGCCACCGCTCAGGAACTTGTTAAACATGCTGAAGAGCAGGCCCATAAGACCAACTAATTAGAATCCACATGTTATCAAAATTACCACATGACCCTTCTGCATTTTAAAGTTTGAAAACTATTTTATATCACATTCTTCTTAAAATTTTTTAAAAAATTTATATTCAATTTAGTTAACATACAGTGTATTATTAGTTTCAGGGGTAGAATTTAGTGATTCATCAGTTGCATACAATACCCAGTGCTCGTTACTTCAAGTTCCCTCCTTAATGCCCATCACCCAGTTACCCCATCCCACTCCCCCCGCCCCCAGCGACCCTGTTTGTTCCCTACAGTTAAGAGTCTCTTATAGTTTGCCTCTTTCACTGTTTTTATCTTATTTTATTCTTCCTTCCCCCATGTTCTTTTTGTTTCTTAAATTACACGAGTGAAATCATATACTATTTGTATTTGTCTGACTTATTTCCCTTAGCATAATACCCTCTAGTTTCATCCACATTATTGCAAATGGAAAGATTTCATTCTTTTTGATGGCTAAGTAATATTCCATGGTATAAATATACCACCTCTTCTTTATCCATTCATCTGTCAACGGACATCTGGGTTCTTTCCGCAGTTTGGCTATTGTGGACACTGCTGTTATAAACATTGGGGTGCAGGTGCCTCTTTGGATCATTATGTTTGTATCCTTTGGATAAATACCTAATAGTGCAATTGCAGGGCTGTTGGGTAGCTCTATTTTCAACCTTCTGAGGAACCTCCATACTGTCTTCCAGAGTGGCTGCACCAGCTTGCATTTCCACCAGCAGTGTAAGAGGGTTCCCCTTTCTCTGCATCCTGGCCAACATCTGTTGTTTCCTGAGTTGTTAATTTTAGCCATTCTGACTGGTGTCAGGTGGTATCTCACTGTCATTTTGATTTCTATTTCCCTGAGTGATGTTGACATTTTTCATGTGTTTATTGGTCATCTGTATGTCTTCTTTGGAGAAATGTCTGTTCATGTCTCCTGCCCATTTCTTGACAATTTTTTGTTTTTTGGGTGTTGAGTTCGATAAATTCTTTATAGATTTTGGATATTAGCCCTTTATCTGATAAGACATTTGCAAATATCTTCTCCCATTCCGTAGGCTGCCTTTTAGTTCTATTGACCAAAATTTCCTTTGCTGCACAAAAGCTTTTTATCTTGATGAAGTCCCAATAGTTCATTTTTGCTTTTGTTTTCCTTGCCTTTGGAGATGTATCTAGCAAGAAGTTGCTGCAGCTGAGGTCAAAGAGGTTGCTGCCCTGTGAATTCCTCTAGGATTTTGATGGATTCCTGTCTCACATTTAGGTCTTTCATCCACTTTGAATTTTTTTTTTGTGTATGCTGTAAGAAAGTGGTCCAGTTTCACTTTTCTGCATGTGGCTATCCAATCTTCCCAACACCATTTGTTGAAAAGACTTTTCCACTGGATAATTTTTCCTGCTTTGCCAACGATTAGTTGACTATAGAGTTGAGGGTCCACTTCTGGGATCTCGATTCTGTTCCATTGATCTATGTGTCTGTTTTTGTGCCAGTACCATCCTGTCTTGACAATTACAGATTTGTAACAGAACTTGAAATCCGGAATTGTGATGCCACTAGCTTTTTCTTTTTCAACATTCCTTTGGCTATTCGAGGTCTTTTTTTCTGGTTCCATACACATTTTAGGATTGTTTGTTCCAGCTCTGTGAAAAATGCTGGTGGTATTTTGATAGGGATTTTTCAGTGATTGTGTAGATTGCTTTGGGTAGCATAGACATTTTAATAATACTTGGTCTCCCAATCCATGAGCATGGAATGTTTTTCCATTTCTTTGTGTCTTCCTCAATTTCTTTCATTAAGTGTTCTATAGTTTTCTGAGTACAGATCTTTTACCTCTTTGATTAGGTTCTATTCCTAGGTATCTAATGGTTTTTGGTGCAATTGTAAATGGGATCGATTCCTTGATTTCTCTTTCTGCTGTTTCACTGTTAGTGTATAGGAATGCAACAAGCTTCTGTGTGTTGATTTTGTATCCTGAAACTTTGCTGAATTCCTGTATCAGTTCTAGAAATTTTTTACTGGGGTCTTTTGGGTTTTCTACATAGAGTATCATGTCATCTGTGAAGAGTGAAATTTGACTTCTTTGCCAGTTTGGATGCCTTTTATTTCTTTTTACTGTCTGATTGCTGAGGCTAGGACTTCCACTACAATGATGAACAGCAGTGATGATAGTGGACATCCCTGTTGTGTTCCTCATCTTAGGGGAAAAGCTCTCAGTTTCTCCCCTCTGAGGATGATATTTGCTGTGGGTCTTTCTTATATGGCTTTTATGATGTTGAGGAATGTTCCCTCTTTCCCTACATGGTAGGAGGTTTTTATCAAGAAAGGATGCTATACTTTGTCATATGCTTTTGCTCATATGGTTCATATCCTTTCTTTTAGTAATGTGGTGTATCACACTGATTGACTGTAAATGTTGAACCACCCCTGCAGCCCAGGAATAAATCCCACTTGGTTGTGGTGAATCATCTTTTAAATGTACTGCTGGACTCTATTAGCTAGTATCCTGGTGAGAATTTCTGTATCCATGTTCATCAGGGATATTGGTCTATAATTATCCTGTTTAGTGGCATCTTTGTCTGGTTTTGGGATCAAGGTAATGCTGGCCTCATAGAATGAGTTTGGAAGTTTTCCTTCCATTTCCATTTTATGGAACAGCTTCAGAAGAATAGGTATTAATTCTTCTTTAAATGTTTGGGATTTCCAATTCCACTGGGAAGCCATCTGGCCTTGGACTCTTTTTTGTTTGTTGGGAGATTCTTGATTACTGATTCAATTTCTTTGCTGGTTATGGGTCTGTTCAGGTTTTCTATTTCTTCCTATTTCCGTTGTGGTAGTTTATGTTTCTAGGCATGTATTAATTTCCTCTGGATTGCCTAATTTGTTGGCATATAATTGCTCATAATATTCTCTTATAATTGTTGATATTTCTGCAGTGTTGGTTGTGATCTCTCCTGTTTCATTCATGATTTTATTTTTCAAATTCTATTTATTTGACAGAGAGAGACACAGCGAGAGAGGGAACACAAGCAGGCAGAGTGGGAGAGGGAGAAGCAGGCTCCACTCTTGAGCAGGGAGCCCGATGCAGGGCTCGATTCCAGGACCCTGGGATCATGACCTGAGCCGACGGCAGATGCTTAACAACTGAGCCACCCAGGCACCCCCATGACTTTATTTATTTGGGTCCTTTCTCTTTTCTTTTTGATAAGTCTGGCCAGGGGTTTATCAATCTTATTAATCCTTTCAAAGAACAAGCTCCTAGTTTTGTGGATGTATTCTACTGTTTTTTTGATTTCTATATCATTGATTTCTCCTCTAATCTTTATTATTTCTCTTCTCCTGCTGGGTTTAGGCTTTATTTGCTGTTCTTTTCCCAGCTCCTTTAGGTGTAAGGTTAGGTTGTGTAGTTGAGACTTTTCTTGATTCTTGAGGAAGGCCTGTATTGCTATATACTTCCCTCTTAGGACTGCCTTTGCTGCATCCCAAAGATTTTGAACCGTTGTGTTTTCACTTTCATTTGCTTCCACGTTTTTTAAGAATTCTTTAATTTCCTGGTTGACCCATTCATTCTTTAGTAGAATTTTTTTTTTTTAAAGATTTTATTTATTTATTTGAGAGAGAATGAGAGAGAGCACATGAGAGGGGGGAGGGTCAGAGGGAGAAGCAGACTCCCTGCCAAGCAGGGAGCCCGATGCAGGACTCGATCCCGGGACTCCAGGATCATGACCTGAGCCAAAGGCAGTAGCCTAACCAACTGAGCCACCCAGGCGCCCCTAGTAGAATGTTTTTCAATCTCCATGTATTTGTGGTCCTTCCAAATTTGTCCTTGTGGTTGACTTCAAGTTTCATAGCATTGTGGTCTGAAAATAGGCATGGTATGATTTCAATCTTTTTTTATTGGTTGAGACCCGATTTGTGACCCAGTATGTGATGTATTCTGGAAAATGCTCCACATGAACTTGAAAATAATATGTATTCTGCTGCTTTAGGGTGAAATGCTCTGAATATATCTGTTAAGTCCATCTGGTCCAATGTGTCATTCAAAGCCCTTGTTTCCTTGCTCATCTTCTGCTTAGATGATCTGTCCACTGCTGTGAGTGGGGTGCTAAAGTCCCCTATTATTTTATTATCAATGAGTTTCTTTGTTATTAATTGATTTATATATTTGGCTGCTCCCAACTTAGGGGCATAAATATTTATAATTGTTAGATCTTCTTGTTGGATAGATCCCTTTATTATGATATAGTGTCCTTCTTCATCTCTTATTTCAGTCTTTGGTTTAAAATCTAGTTTGAGTGGTTTAAGGAAGGCTGCTGATTGGGCTAGCACATGAGGAAGCAGCAGATCTATGTCCTCCTGTGAGGTTCTGGAAAAGAAAATTTGTTTTTATTTTTTATTTTTTTAAGGGATTTTTATTTGATAGAGAGACAGAGAGCACGAGCAGGGGGAGCGGCAGGCAGAGGGAGAAGCAGGCTTCCTGCTGAGCAGAGAGCCCGATGTAGGGCTCGATTCCAGGACACTGAGATCATGACCTGAGCCAAAGACAGACACTCAATTGACTGAGCCACCCAGGT